TATCCAGTATTTTAGTCCAATAACACTGGCTATTCGAATGTATTTGATTATTTGACCCGGCAAAGCACCAACATTACATATTGTAAAAATAACAGTTAATATATGAATTATATTAAAACTATAAGTTAATTTTCACACCTCTGTACATCAATAAAAGAAAAGAAAAGACAGATTCAATGCAATGCCCATCAAAATCCCAGCAAAATTCTTCAAAGACCTCAAAAGAACGGTACTCAACTTCATATAGAAAAGCAAAAAACCTAGGATAGCCAAAACAATCCTGTACAATAAAAGAATTTCTGGAGGCATCACAATCCCTGACTTCAAACTCTACTACAGAGCTACAGTACAGAAAACAGCCTGGTATTGGCATAAGAACAGACAGGAGGACCAATGGAACCAAATAGAAGACCCGGATATCAATCCATACATCTTCGAACACCTGATCTTTGATAAAGAAGCAAAAAATATCAAATGGAAAAAAGAAAGCATATTTAACAAGTGGTGCTGGCAGAAATGGATATCAACATGTAGAAGAATGAAAATAGACCCGTATCTATCACCATGCACAAAACTCAAGTCCGAATGGATCAAAGACCTCAACATAAAGCCGCACTGGACCTTATAGAAGAGAAAAGTAGGAAGTACACTTGAATGCATTGGCACAGGGAACAACTTCCTAAATAGAATCCCAGCAGCACAGACACTGAGAGAAACAATTAATAAATGGGACCTCCTAAAACTGAAAAGCTTCTGTAAAGCAAAGGACACGATCAACAAGACAAAACGACAGCCTACAGAATGGGAAAAGATCTTCACTAACATCAGACAGAGGTCTGATCACCAAAATATACTAAGAACTCAAGAAATTGGACACCAAAAGATCACATAATCCAATAAAAAAAATAGAGTACAAACCTAAACAGAGAACTCTCAATAGAGGAATCTAAAATGGCTAAACAACAGACACTTAAGGAAATGTTCAACATTCTCAGTCATCAGAGAAATGCAAATCAAAACAACTCTGAGATTCCATCTTACACCTGTAAGAATGATCAAGATCAAAAGCACTGATGACAACTTATGCTGGAGAGGTTGTAGCGTAAAGGGAACACTTCTGCATTGCTGGTGGGAGTGCAAGCTGGTACAGCCCCTTTGGATGTCAGTGTGGTGATTTCTCAGAAAATTAGTAAACGACCTTCCTCAAGACCCAGTAATACCACTTTTGGGTATGTATCCGAATGATGCACAATCGTGCCACGAGGACATGTGCTCAACTATGTTCATAGCAGCCTTGTTTGTCATAGCCAGAACCTGGAAACAACCTAAATGCCTCTCGGCCAAAGAATGAATAAGGAAAATGTACATTTACACAATGGAGTACTACACAGCAGAAAAAAATAATGACAACTTGAATTTTGAAGGAAAATGGATGGAGCTAGAAAACATTATTTTGAGTGAGGTAACCCAGACACAGAAAGACAATTATCACATACACTCACTCATGGGTGGTTTTTAAACTTAAAGCAAAGAAAGCCAGCCTACAAACCACAGTCCCAGAGAACTTAGACAACAATGCAGACACTAAGAGAGACAAACATAGATCTAATCTACATGGGAAGTAGAAAGTAGAAAAAGACAAGATCTCCTGAGTAAATTGGAAGCATGGGGATCTTGGGGGAGGGTTGAAGGGTGGAGGGGAGAGACAGGGAGGGGAGCAGAGAAAAATGTAGAGTTCAATAAATATCAATAAAAGAAAAAGAAAAGAAAAGAAAACTAACCTGGTAGTGGTGGCTCAGACCTTTAATTCTATCACTTAGGAGGTAGGGGCAGATGGATCTCTATGAGTTCAAGGCAAATCTGGTGTACAGAATGAGTTCCAGGACATCCAAGGCTACATCAAGAAACTCTATCTCCGAAAGAAAGAAAAAAAAAGCAAACAAAACAAAAAAAGCAAGCAATAACAAAAAAAAAGAAAAGAAAGAAAACATAAATTAGTCAACTGTTGTTAGTATTAATACTGAGCAAGCAACCAACATCTTAAAATTGGCTCAAGAAATACGCATTTAATTTTCCTAGTTTGTGGCTTTGTAGGTGAGCTAGAAATTCTCTGTCTTGGAAGACAGATGGCTGGTGCTGGTGCTTCTGGTTGCCATCAGACTTACTTCAGATGGTCTACTTCAGAATCTCACTAGATAACAAAGGCACGTTCTTCTCTCAGCTGAACACCCAAATTCAAGAGGTCAAGTTGCATTACTCATTTAAGATCTGGACCCCTGTTTGACCATGGCATTGGTCAAACAATGTCATGCAAATAATCATGTCCAGCATCAGTTGTGTAGAGAACTAGCCCTGGTGAGAAGTTCACAGGACAGCTGGGTGTAGTAGAATGCTCCTGGAATCTCAGTACTTGAGAGGCAGAGGCAAGATGGTCAGGAGCTCCAGGGTAGCCTGGGATGTGTAGGGACTCATCCAACACATGATGGAACCAACAAAACAAAAACCCCACAAACAAAAATAGAAAAAGGAGTTTATGTGACAGACGGGGAATTAATTGAGAACAGTGACCTAATCTACCAGACAATAAGCAAACAAATCATCTCGAATAATTAAAAAGAAATACCTATTGACTTGTAAAGAAAATAATATTATTTGCACATGTGAATACTGTCTTGAAGTTATTCCTATCCCATCTACCTTCTCATCATACTGTGAACTGAAGATTGATGGTTAAGCCACAGCAGAGTTCTTGATTTTTTAATAAGAAACCAAGTTTGAAAAATCCTACTTTTAAAATAAATGGCACCGCAAAAGAACTCCCTCCTCCTCACCCCCAAAAAGGGAAGTAAAACTGGAGTTAATGCCTGAGGTTTTTTTTTGGGGGGGGGGGAGAAATTAGAAAACAAAAAACCTAACCCTAATACACCCAAACCACCACCACCACCAAAAACAAAACAAAACAAAACAAAAAAAACCAAAAAACTAGCCTCAGAGCCCATCTCTCTAAGGGATGCATTAAATCTTAAGTTCCAGTAACAAATTAATGTGAAATAACCATTCCTCTAAGAAGGCAACATTTTCAGATTTGCCATGTAGACATGTAGGTCTCTGATACAGATATGCAGATGTCTCTGTAAAATACCATGTGGCATACAAGTATGTCTAAGAATGGCTTTTCTGTGTTAAATGAATGTTTATCAATACTTTCATTTTTCACTAGATCCACTTAAAGATTGTCATTCTGGATAAATACAGTCTGGATTGTATTTGATCCAGGAACTGGCTAATTGGTAAGTGGTTGGTATCTTCAAAATATGGAATAAAATAGGATGAAAATATATTTTACATTTCCATGACTGGATAACTTATGTGCACATTATTGTCATTGATTTAATAGAGGAATTTCCCTTTTTTTTTGTTCCCCAGGGACTAGAAAAGTGGGATGAAAGAATTGCTCTTCCTTGTCAAGAGCTGGGGCTGCCACATGGGCTCACTTTATCTCAAGTCAACGCAGTAATTATTTATTGAGGGAGCAGTTATTGTTCTAGGCATTTTGAGAACTGACTTAGTGTGTTCCAAATTATTTGACCTATCATATAATCTCGTCTAGAAATGTAGCACACAAACAATGCTTCTGTCCGAGACATACGAAGCATTAAGGAATAGAGGAAGAACACTCACTGTTATTACCACTTTCTAGATTTTTGAAAATTGGTTCCACAATGGCTGTCTTCAGATGCCTACGGTGTAAGCAGAATTAGCAGGAGTGAGGGGAGATGCTCCAGAGGGCAGATGCTCCAGCCCCAGTTCCCAGTCTGTAATTTTCATGCCATTTTTTTTTAAACAAAACATAAGACACACAAATAACTACATGTAATTTAAAAATTATGTCCTAGTTAAAACACAGGTGAATTTTATACTTAGTCTTAGATATTGTTGCCTAGATATGCCATTATGTACAGGCAAATATTCCCAAATCGGCCATAATTCCAATCCCCACACATTTTGGGCACAAATATTTAACCTGGAGTGGTCCCTTGCGTGCACTCTCAACTTTTGCCCCGGTTTCACTTCCTCTTTCACACCTGGGAAAGTTCCAACCCTGCTTGAGTTGAACTTTTTATTCTGAACTTTGAGTTGTCGAACCCGGTGTGGGTGGAGGAAAACCCACAACAATGCTGTTGCTGAGTTTCGTGCTAATTTTCTGCTGTCTGGTCGATTTTTATTCTGCCTCGTAAACAGCTAGAGTCCCTGGTCCCTTTACCCCCCGCCCCCCAGCCCCCAGATAACTGCTCCGTGCCTCGCTTTTATCTTTAAAGCCAACATTTCTTCTACGTACCGCCCACCCCGGTTCTCTGTCAGTTGACGATGATCTTCGCTATGTATGGGGGTGGGGATGGACCAGAAAATTAAAACGAATCAACAGTCAGTTTTGTGCCCTTCTAATGCCTTCTCTCCCTTTGCCTTCTGCGGAGTTCTGTGCTGAGGAGAAACTACTCTGAGTTGTCGGGTCGGGTGAGTGGCTGCGGTGACTCTGGCTAGGTCTGTGGCAGCATCTGTGCAGAAGGCCTTCTCCCCCTCCTCCCACAGCCCCGCCAGGCTCTTCATAGCCAATGACTGAGCATGATGAGGACACAGAGCTATTTTCGTTCGTTTTATAAATAGATATAAATCCTTTAAACAATACCCAATATACTGTATGCACTTTGCTATTATATAATTGTTTCTATCAGCATTTTTTTCTGAATGTTTTCTATATGCTTAATAAATATCTGTTACACTACCAGAATGAATGTGATTTAGGATGAAAATTATCTCCAACTAGAGATTCATACTATCCAGAGTTGATGTGATTATAGTTGAAAGGACACTGACATACTCTGATGAGCTTTTTAAATGTCAGTCTCGCTATAGTCAGTAAATTTTAAATACGTATTTCCTTTAGTCTAGAGAGCCTAATGTGTATTTTTGGAAAATATATTTGTGTTTTGAAATATATATACAATACTAAACCAAATTTATTTCGGTAATTGTAAAAAATTAGAAAGCTAAATGCCCATAAATAGAACTTTCGGCAAATTATGAGCCACCTGTTTCCTGGAGACCGGGTAAAAGTTTAAACAATCAAACAAACAAAGACAAACTGTATAGATTGAAACGAAAGTTCGCCAGGTACACAGCGTGAAGAGCCGGTTACGGAAAGTGCTCCGTAGGATGTCACTTTTGTTTATGGAACTCCAAACTACAGCTGTTGGAAAGGTGGATGGAAAGGCAGCCCAGCAGGTTTGAGAGGCTAGACCTCCGCTCCGTGGTGGGTGGAGACCGATGGGGCGGGAAAGGCCAAGAGGAGTTCGTACCTAGTCTACCGTCTGTCTTCCCAACTGTTTCAATTTCTCCATAGGTATGTCTTAACATTTACTGACAAATTTAAAACAGGAGGGTAGTTTTCTCAACGAATATACATTAAAATCCTTTAATATCGACGGTAGATATGAAGACATACAACAGTAAACTTTCATAAGGCTTAAAATGTGTCTACTTCGGGAATTCCTAAGTTGTCTTAGGGTTTTCCCCAGTCATCCTCCTCACCAAAGCTGATCTCGCTGTAACGCTGCTGGTTCCCACCCAGCAGGCTTCCTGTGTGTCATGAAAGAGCTGACTTGGCATCTGGGCGGGACGCATGTGATACCAAGAGTCCCGTAGTCAAAGTCGGTCTTCCATCACATGGTTTACAGTTGTTCTGTAACAAGTGAAGGGGACGGCAGACCAAGAGAAGCGACAATACAGAAACTGACTTTTCTCTCTCCAGCAGATCGCTCTGACAGTTCTCACGCAGCACTTAGTATGTCAGACAGGGGAGAAAGATGTCCAAGACTTGTCCGGACTTCAGTTTGAGAAGTGCCGTGGAGAATATTACCTCACCAGACTGCCCTAGAAGGTACCACACATTGGCTGACTAAAATCAGAAGAACTTGATTATTTCAGCGTTCTAAAGGCTGGGCCACCTAAGGGGTCAGCAAGGGTCAAGCTTCCTGTGAAGTCCCTGGGGGTGTTGCATCCTTGTTTCTTCCCGCCTCTGACGGCCCCCAGGTATTCTTTAGTGTAGATGTGTCATGCTGATGTGTCTCCCTGCTCCATTTCTCAGAGCCCATGTTCCTGCAAATTCCTAGGAAATTCCCGTCCTTCTCAGGCAGGGTCCACCCCGGTGTCTTCATCTGTTAATTGATTACATCTGCAGAGACAATATTTTCCAAATAAGCAATTCCAAATTCACAGGAACAAGTGGTTAGGACTTCAACACATTTTATTGGGAAACCCAATTCAGTTCATACTAGACTGGCTGAAGTTTGGTCTGTTTTGGATAACGGCTATTAACATATGTAACTCTTGTGTAAGACAGAGTCAGTGAACTTTAAAACACGTCATAGAAATTTATTATACTAATCTCATAAAAGCCCCGAATGATGAAGGCTTTTTTGTTGTTGTTGTTGTTATTGTTTGTTTTTTAAGAATATGACTTTCAGGTAAACAAATTCTGGTATGTGTCATAGTAATGGATCTCAGAATTAGATCAGTGAGAACAGAATCAATATAAAGTAAGCACCCCGAGAAAGTGCTTCCTCAACACCCCCTGCCTCTCCTAAGAGGCCCACATCTGCCTTTCATGATCAGGTCTCACGATGTGAAGGTGTAGAGGCACAGTCTCAAGACTTCAGAGAAAGGCGGCACCCAAGGCAAACAGAGAGAAAGAAAGAGGTCTGAAGATGAACGGGCATTTGCTTTAAGGATGGTGATTTGGGAAGAAGTTTCTTGGACACCACTGTAAAAAGGAGAGAGCTGTCGTGAAGCCACTGTATGAAATAAGTGTTTTACAGGCGTTAAAGGGAAGAGAAGATAACCTGAAGAGATCTGGGGCTCCAGAGCCGGCGTTCTCTTGGGCTGCCCCCCACCTCGCTCCAGCTTCTCCCTCTGCCAGTCAGCTCCTGTGTATAAGATCAAACCAACACTCACTTCAGAGTATAGGGGACCTCACTGTGGGTGAACAGAAAAAGGATGTATGGTCTATGACTCTCAATTCCAAATTCCCTGGAAGGGAACCTCCGGTGTCCACTATGGTTCAATCAAGGGAAGCAGAGAGGCTCACAAACATAGACAATAGAGGCTAGCTATTCCGAATGAAAAGGCCAGGTTTCCGTTTGGGCTTGGTGGCACAGATCTTTAATCCCAGTACTGGGGCAGATTTCTACGAGACCAGGGCTAGTGTGGTCTAGAGAGCAAGTTCCAGGACAGCTAGGGCTATAGAGAGAAACCCTGTCTCAAACAGAGGAGGAGGGGGATTGATTAATAAATAAAATAAAACCTATATTTAGTAGCCTCGCCAACAATTAAGGAAGCTGAAAAACTCGGAGAAATGGCTCTGCAGTTAAGAGCATTTGTTATTCTGCAAAGGACCCAGGTTCAATTCCCAGCACCTGGATGGTGTTTCACAACCATCTGTGACTCCGGTTCTGGGAGCTCAGACAGCCTTTTATGTTCTCTGTGGGCATGGCATGCACATGCCGGCCAAAATCCCATACACAAAATAAAATGAAATAAAAATTTTAAAAAGCCAGGTGTGCTGGTGCATGCTTTTAGTTCCAGCATTCAGGAGGCAGAGGCAGTGGATCTCTGTGAGTTCAGAGATCTGCCTCGTCTACAAAGACTGTTACACAGAGAAACTCCATCTTGGGAAAAAAAAATACACAAAACTACACACACACACACACACACACACACACACACACACACACACCCAAAAGGCCAGGTTTTGGAGAAAACGTGTGCAATTAAGTCTCGGAAATCAACACTCTGCAATATCAACGAAACAAGGAAAATTTCTATTTTTATGTTGTTAGTTATGTATATATGTATTTACTTATTTATGCATATATACATATATATGCAATGTGAGTTGCGCTCCCTTGCATTGTAAGAGATGTGGAGGTCAGAAGACAACTTGAAGGATTCATCGAGGTTTCCAGTGGTCAGACTTGGGGACAAGCCCCTTTACATACTGGATATTTGCCCAAATTTCTGTTTTGAACAGTGAATCTTGGAAGGAATTGTTTTTTAAAAGAAAATCCTATTTGTGAACAGGCAACTCGCACCATTTGAAGCCATTTTTTTGTTGTTGTTGACACTGTGTCTATGATCTCAGCTACGCAGGGGTATTGTGGGTTCATGAGTTCTAGCCCAGCTTGTTGTACATAGCAAAACTGAATTTAAAGAAATCTTGTTGTAGTTGTCGAAAGTAGAACAAAGTTGTACTTGATATTCTATGTATTTTGTCAAATAGCTAGCCTGCCTTGAAAGAGCTTACAGAGTGGAAAATTGTTTGGTTCTAACTCACTCTCTGTTCGTGTCAAGGCAAAGAAAGTTCTGCTTGGCAGGTCATCTTTTCCTTTGTGATGTAAAGATGAAACGCATTGAGGACCAAGGTCAGAAGGAGGGTGTACTGAAGAGGAGCTATTTGGTTGATGTAAAGTAAGAAAAGGTGGTTTGCTTGTCTGTTTGCCCGATTCAGACACCCTGCTTCATAATCTTAGGTCTGAAATAAATTAGCCTCTTTCCATAGCTACTAGTTCATTTTTCTCTATTTGGGAAAGAAACGAAATACTTTTTGGACCTCTCCTCAGACCTTTGCGTGAGTCTGTTTGCCAGCCAGAGACGTACTCAAGTCTTTCTTTTGCTTGAAATGTATGCTACCTTTAAGAGTGATGTTTCCTCCGGTGTGGTGCTCCACCCCTGTGACCTCAGCACTCTGGCAGAGCAAGTTCCGACCCAGCTATCCAGGAAGACTCGGCCTCACAATACACACACACACACACACACACACACACACACCCCAGTACAACACAACCAACTAAAATAAATAAAGCATAGCAAAATACAAAACAAGCACAACAACAACAACAAAAAAGACATTGTCATTACCTTATTCAGTGACAGTTTTCTTTAAGTGCTCTCTTTCCTTTTCTCTTTCTCTTTGAGACAGGGTCTTACTATGTAGTTGAGGCTTGCCTTGAAGTTGCTATAAAGTCCAGGCTAACTCAAGTTCATGCCTATTCTGCCCCAGTCTTCCATGTGCTGCGATTATAAGCGTGTAACATTGTAACTAGCTATGATCCAGTTGGTTTTTTACATTTTAAAAATCAAAGTGTTGGGAGTTATGTATGGCAAGCTCATGGAATAGAAGATGTCTCCATGAGATATACTGAAAGGGAAAGGTTAGCATAAGGGGGAAAAGTAGACTACTCCAAACAGAATGGAAGGGGGCCTGAAAACCCACAAAAGTAGTGTAGGTTACAGAAAAGAAGCACCAACAGAGACCCAGTCAGGTGGCTATGCTTGGTGGGGGAAGGGAAACGAAAGCCTCATCCAAAAGTTGTATGAGGTCTCCCTGTTGGAAAGAGATCCATAGCGCATAGCCCTCACAGACAGATGTGGGCTTTTGGTGGACGACTCAGCAGTCGAGACACTATCACTCTGTGTGACTCAGAGGACAGGGACCGGGAACTACCCCACGAAGGAAACTATTGCTTAACATTGAGCTTCCCTACAGGCCTGAGTATAGAGACAGCCCCAGGAGAGGGAGACTGACTCTAACTAGTCCCGGCTCTGGGTGTGAGGCAGTCTCTGGGGCAGTTGTGGAGACGGAGACAAGGCTTCCCGACAAGCCACGGGTGAAGGCGGCAGGAGAGAGAAGGGCATAAGGAAAGGTTTGACCTGAGAGAGAGAGAGGGAGAGAGAGAGAGAGAGAGAGAGAGAGAGAGAGAGAGAGAGAGAGAGAGAAAGAGAGAGAGAATTTTCATCAATTTCCGTTGATGAAAAGGAGAATAATCCTGGAGTCCGATAGTCCCGCGACCGTGTGTGCATCATGCTTCCAGTCACCTGTCTGCCTCTCATCTGGGCAGAGGAAGAGAGCTCAAGCTCCAGGGGAGATCTTGACACTCAAACTACACCCTGCAGCAGATCAGGACTAGGGGCCTTGAAAGTACAAAGACTGATCCTGAGCTTGTGAGGATCTCTGTGATTTTATTTTCTTCCGCTTCTGGGAGACACCTTCTGCTGGAACACTAGCCACCGAGGGCGTACAGTCTGGAGGGGTCCCAGGAGGGTGGGAGACTCTGAAACAGTATATAAGCAATGCGACCAACGGAGGCCTACCATATGCGGAAAAGGGAGCTACTATGACCGGCACTGGACACTTGCCTGGCCAGGTACAACCACAGCATAAACTATAGGAATGACCACCCCTCCACACCAGGCACGTGAACGGCAGCCTCCAGTCTCCAAGGACAAAGAAGGATGCCGACTCCGCCCCATCCTGTTTTCCCTCCTTTTCTTTCACTTTCTGCAGTATTTTTAAAATACGTTTTACACAAAAAAATTGGTTTTGTTTCTAAATTACTTTTGTGTGTTCACATGATGCTGTTTACATATTTTTCCCCATTACTGGGAAATACTTTTTCTGTTTTGTACTATTTATAAAGTTCTTTCTTTTTTATGGTTTGCTGTCTACTCCTCTCCATTTTTCCTTTCTATTATACGTTTAATGGTCATTTATCTTTCTCATTTCGTGTTTTAAAAACCAATTTTTAGTCCCTTTCCTTCATTTACCTAGTTTTGGTTTTTAACTCTTTTATTATGTGTTTAATATTGAGCTTTTGTGGTCTGTATTCTATTTTACTTTTTCTGATCTCTTGCTCTTTTCTCTTCCCCTCCATACGCTCTTCCCCTCTTCTTCTTTTTCTTTTATTCACTTAGTTTTGTGTCAGGCTTTTTGTTCTTTGCCTGCCTTTCCCACTTTGTTTCTGTTATCTCATTCATTCACCAATTTTGTATTAGTTTTGCCATTTTTGTTTGTTTTATGGACATTGGTGATATATTGATTGGTTTTAATTAGTTTTAAGCATTGTCTTACTTTGTGTGGTTTGATGTTCCTTATATTATAGCAGTTTGTTTTATTTTCTATAAATGGCATTAGGAAGATTGAGACTTCAAAGACAGGTTATTGAATAAAAAGACCCCTAAATAAAACTAAACAAAATATCCAAACCAACAGACATGAAAAGTCACAATATAGAAATATAAATGAAGAATCAAGCAACAGGACTTTTCCTCAACCACTGAATTCAAACATACTGTGACAGATAAAATGTCAGGTGCATTTTTCAAAGATTCCAAAAGCAATGGATGCCATAAAAGATGATACAGACAAGCAAAGGAATTCAACTAGGATCTGAAGAGGAAAACACACACAAACAGAGGAAATGATCAGCAAATGTACAAAAAAAAAAAACCACCCAACAATATTGATGGAAAACTGAACAACAGAGATAAAAGATAAGGAAGGAAATGGAGATTTGGATAAAACCACACAGTAAACAAACAAATCAAAGTGGAAAGCATCTTTAGAAAACTTAGCCAAGAAAGAAAAGAGCATCCGTGATGGATGGAGGACAAGGTCAAGGAATCACCAAAACCAAATATCCTAAGGAAAAATATGAGCATGGTACAATGTGCAAGAACCCAGGATAATATCAGTGGTCAAAACCCAAGAATTCATGAAGTGGAAAAGGAAAATGAGATATAAAACTAAAGACATGGAGAATCTAGTTGATTAAATTATAACATAACTCCCCTCCCCCAAAAATATCTAGAGAAAGTGATAGACATCCAAATGCAAGAAGAATTTCAGAATTCCAAGTAGATATAGCCAGAGAAAAGTCATTATTCTGTCACATCGTCAAGGTGTTAGGACTACAAAGAAAAGAAATAATATTGAAGGTTTTAGGGAAAATGCCAAACATACAAAGACAAACATGTTTTA